AGAGTTGGAAATGACTGGGCACATACACACACCTTCAAGCACACCACACACCTTACAAATCCAACCCCTGTGTTTTTAATATACAATGCCTTGAAAGCATGTTTGTATTTTAGTGTAAAACCTTTAAAAAAATAAAAACTCAGAAGAACAGTAGAAATTAGTTACTAATGACAAAATTATAGAGTTGTAGGAGAAAGTTTTCTACCAGGAGAGTTCTTCTATTTTAGTTGTCTTGTCTATTCACAAGCCTATACTTAGCTAATAGCATCCTTGTCTAGGTTGTTAATCCTTTCCACAATGGTAGTTTAACTGTGCACAGAATTTATTAAAATTATAGCTTTGAGTGATACTGATTTGGAGGAGATTCGACCTAATGATTTTTTTAAACATAAACTCTAATGCACATTATTTCTCATGCTAACATCTGTGGTGAGCAGCTCTACATAAAAAATCCCTAAGGGTTCCAGATAATCATGCCAGCTCTAACAACACAACATTAAAACGATTTCCTTATGTAAAATCTGGAAGAAGTCAGAGCCTCCAGATACTAGGCTTGTTTTTTGACATACATAGGTTACTATGATCATCTTCTAAGTTTATTTTGGATTCAGCAACTTTATTTCCATTTTTACAACCCTCTTATGTCACTAAATCTTCCCTACAATCTACAACTCTGACTCAGTGAACACCAGGTGAATCACAAGCTATACTTGTTTTATTTTTAGTGTGAACCATAATCCTGAGGGAGTTGCAAATGCTCAAAAACAAAAAAAAACCTTGTAAGGCCAAATAACATTGCTTTACACCATGGAGTGTCTCCCATTGCCTGAATCTTAATACATGTCAACAGAAGGGGCAGCATGATGCTTTCAGGAGAAACTGTGCCCTCTGCACTTTTCTGAGGCCTTTTTCACTGTGACAAAAAGCACAAATGGCAAAAGAAGAATACCACACTTATGAGCCAGGTGAGGAGTCTATCATACAACTTCATTTCTATTACTTAACAGGCTGTCTGTGAGATGCATGGGAGAAAAGACAACCAGAGTATCTCCTTTCCAGACAAAACAAACTCTTATCAGAGATGAGAAAACTGTGCTAAAATTATGCTAAATTAAAGCATGTCAGAAAACAGGTTCCAAACAGGACTCAAAAGCTATTTTTAAACTAAATGCCAGCTACTTACTCTGGTAGAAAGATTGCCAGTAATTAATTCTACTTTAGCTGTTTCTATTTGCTTTAGAAAACTGTATTTAATCTAGACTATGGTAAGAAGTGAATTATGAATTAAAGTTGAACTTAAAAGATTACTGCACAATTCAAGTGTTTTCTTTCCTTCCAAATGAATTTCATATGGATGAAATAACATAATGTCAGGCTTTAGTTTTACATCACAGTGAATGTTTATTTATAGGTACCCTGAGAGAACTGGAGCTCAGTAAAAGGTTTTTCTTTACCTTGCGAAAGTATGTAACTTTCCTAACTAGTGGGCCTAATTAGTGATGGGACCTAACTCCCAAAAAGGACAGCCTCGGCTGCCAGAGAGTGATATCACCTCATGGCACTGTGGGATGAAAAAAAAAAAAAGACTCAGTAAAATTATCTTTAGTGTAATTCATTAAACAAACACAATGCTCAGAAGGAAATGGTCCATTTTTAATTTAACGGCATACTATGTCAGTAGCATTTCTCAAGTTATTGGTTGGATTCAAGGCTCATCTGCAAGATTCGATCAAACAGAAAAATTTTAAGCTGTAAATATTTATTATATATATCAGAAATAAGATATTTTCATATTTTTACCTGTATCATAGTGCCTTGCTACTCAAAGTGTGATTTGTAGACCAGTAGCTTTGGCTTTAGCTCTTAATAGAAGCTTGTTAAAAATGTAAAATCTTGGGCCCCACCCCTACGACCTGAGTCTGAATTTGTATTTTAAACAGATGCCCAGGTGATTACTCTGAGACACTGTCACAGTAGACTTCAAACTCTCTTCTAGCTCTTATGTTCCACAACCAGAACCCTATATGTTCATTTAGAGAACCAGAACACATTAATAATAAATGTGTTGTTGAGTCCTGCATTCTTTTTAAATTAACTGGAGTAAAAATTTTTATGAAGTTGTCAAATAATGAATAACTGATTGAAGTGGCAAGAATGAGGTTACGTGAAAACTGTAGTTGATCAGGGAAAACGAACCTGATGGATATGATATTCTTTCAGTGTTGTATTTGTGACTTGCAAAAGGATGTTACTAAACAAGATCAAATGAAGCAGCTATACTGAAATCAAAGAAGCATATCAAGGACAAAGGCAAGAAGAAAATCATAATGTCAAACACAAAGCTTCATTTGGAATAGGAAACAGAATTTTGTGCAGATTTTTGTGGAAATGACAACTGGATAGAAAGTTATGAGGTAGGTCTTACTAACATCCCTCACTTTTGTCATTCTGCCTCACCCTTCCTGTAGGTTGTAGGGCGAAACCCTTGTCCTATCTCTGGGCAAAGCTGATGCTAAACAACAACGTGCTCAAGCAATTGACCACTTTCAGGATTTTGCACAAATGTCTTTAATTCCTCTCTATACTATTGTCAGAGTGATTTTTTAAGGCATAAAAAATTACTTCCCAGATTAAATCTCTTCAGTGGTCCAAATCCCTCAGCAAGTACACATATGCCTTTCTGAGAGGCTTATGACTTTTCAGGCTCATATCCTGCCACTTTCACATACCCTACCACACAGCCATTCCACACTGCCAACTCAAATCATCGAGCCTTTACACTGTTTCTCCTTCCTCAGAAAGTCCTTGCTCTTGCTTTCCTCCAATCTGCTGGGTGCTCATCCTCCAGGTCTCAGGATTCAGTGAATTACTCTTTCCTCTGTTTTACCAGTGTAGCAGCACTTAATATGCTGTCCTCAAATTTATTGACATCTTTTCTTCCCCACTAGGCTAAGTTCCTTGAGCACAGAAAAGGCTTCCTCATCTTTGTAACCCCAGTGCCCAGTACACTGCACTAGGTGCATTTCTCCATTCCTGGGTCCTCTAGTTTGAAGGGAGCTTGGTGTGGCTTCTTTTAAAGAAACACCTAAATGTCCACTGAAAGATGAATTAATAAAGAAAATGTGGTGTATATATATATAACTCAGCCAAAACTGACAGATGAATGAATAAAGAAAATGTGGTGTATGTATATATATATATATATATAACTCAGCCAAAACTGACAGATGAATGAATAAAGAAAATGTGGTGTATGTATATATATATATATATATAACTCAGCCAAAATTGATAGATGAATGAATAAAGAAAATGTGGTGTATACATACACATAAATAAATAAATAAATATATATATATATATATATATATATATATACACATATATATATATAACGGAATATTACTCACTCAGCCAAAAAAAAGAAGAATGAAATAGTGCCATTTGCAGCAACTTAGATGGACCAAGAGATTATCATACTCAGTGAAGGAAGTCAAAGACAAATATCATATATTACTTATACGTAGAATCTCAAAAAATAATACAAATGAACATATATACAAAATAGAAACAGACTCACAGAAATAGAAAACAAACTTATGGTTACCAAAAGGGAAGGAGGGGAAGGGAGGGAGGGAGGGAACACAAATTAGGAGTTTGGGCTTAACAGATAAACACAACTACATACAAGGGCTTCCCTGGTGGCTCAGATGGTAAAGCGTCTGCTTACAATGTGGGAGGCCTGGGTTCAATCCTTGGGTCAGGAAGATCTCCCGGAGAAGGAAATGGCAACCCACTCTAGTATTCTTGCCTGGAAAATCCCATGGACAGAGAAGCCTGGTAGGCTACAGTCCATGGGGTCACAAAAAGTTGGACACAACTGAGTGACTTCACTTCTTTAATTTAACTATATACAAAATAGATAAACAAAAAGAACCTATTGAACAGCACAGGGAACTCTATTAAATATCTTGTAATAACCTATAATAGAAAAGAATCTGAAAAAGAGTATATATATTATACATATATATACATGGCTAAATCACTTTCCTGCATACCCAAAATATTATAAACCAATTATATTTCAATTAAAAAAACCCAACATAGTAGTTAGGAGAATAGGCTCTGGATCAAACTGTCTAGGCTTGTGTATGTGTGTTAGTGGTTCAGCCGTGTCCGACTCTTTGTGACCCCATGGACTGTAGCCTGCCAGGTTCCTCTGTCCATGGAATTCCCCAGGCAAGAATATTGGAGTGGGTTGCCATTTCCTTCTCCGTGTCTAGGTTTAAACCTAGGCAATTTATCTTGGGCTGTGTATATGCTTAGTTGTCTTTAAGCCTCAGTTCCCCAATCTCTAAAATGAGACTAATAAAAACATCTAATCTCATTGCTGAGGTAGGGGGAGGTAAATGAAACAAAATATAAAAATACATATAGGGCATTTAATGTTTGTCAAATGAATGAATATATATTCTCCAATTAAAATGTTTAAACATCACAATATATTTTCCATTTCGGTTTGAACAATTTGATTCTAAATTTGACTATATCTGTGAATGAGAGTCTGTAATTTTTTGATATAAGTGCCACTGTCTCATGCAAAGACTAGATTTGAAAAAGCAGCAATTTTTGATGTTGGTGCAATTGAGAAATTGAAAGAGAATGCTTGCCATCTAGTGGAAACCTATTAAACTGCAGTGCTGCTTCTGACTTCTGGCAAATTCCTGGTTTCAAGTGAATTGTTCATTTTACATCTTTTGTGAGAAACTTCCTTCATATAATTTCTCGTATAGATTTATAGGGGGAAAAGGCTCTGTGGTAGAACAAAATAATGATCATCATCATCAATATCAAGTTACCCTTTGATCAGACAGGATCTGCTTTATAAGATAACATATATATATTATAGTATTTTTTTTTTTACTTTCACTACAAAAGAATTTATTAAAGCACAGCTTCAGCCTCCTATATACAAGAGCACATACTCCTGACTACCCTAACTAGGGGACCCTTTTCTTCTCCCTTGCCTTTCGAACCTCTTTTATCAGATCTTTAAGATACTGGATCTCCTTGGCCAAGGAATCTGCCTTCTCTTTCAGAGCCTCATTCTTCTTTTCTAGCTCGTTGCATTCACCAGCGAGAGCCTCCTGTTCTGCCCCGTTCTGGCGGTACCTAATGGCTGCTGTCTTGTTCTGCTCCATTTTCTGCAGCTTCTTGTCTAGCTTCTCATCCTTTACTTTTGCTCCTACCATCTCTCCAGGAGGGTCGTAGGGTTTGGGGCGGGAAGAGCCACCGAGGGCACCTGGAGATAGCAGGCTCTTATTTGGAGAGCCCCTGGAGGTGGAGGGGCTATGCTGGGGAGAGCCCAGAGAGGAGTCGGGGCTCATACAGAGGCCACTATCATCTGAGGGGGCATCCTCCTCCTTTATGCTCTGAGGGATCACAGTACTGCAAGTGGTGGAGTCTGGCTTGCTATCTCCTTCAGAGATAACCACTTCACTGCATAGCTCTAAACTAAAGGAATGATCTGGAGTGGAAGAAAGGGCCCCTGGGGAAGGAGGAAGAGGTTGCAAGAAAATGAAGGGGGCACCCTGGTCAATTGTTGGTAAACTTTCTGGAAGATGGCCAATTGGGTTCACTATCTGAGGGGGCTCCTTATTAGTCTCCTGGAGTAGGGGATCAAAGAGACCACATGTGTCATCCAACGTGGCCAAGAGCTCATCTGGCATGGTTTCCAGGTCATCTATACTCAACAGGGTATCATTAAAATCAAACTCCCTCAAATCCATTTTCTCCACCATCCAATCTGTCCCGGAGAAAGCATCCTCCTTGCTGTTGTCTGAGAAACTGACCAACCCATCCACAGCCAGCCATTCGGAGGAGCTTGCCTTAGCCTTGTCGCAGGAGAACCCATGAGGTTTGAAGTGCTTGGCCCCCTCCAGGTAGTCATCTAGGAGACCTAAGCTGTATTATAGTATTTTTAAGTCAGATTTGAAAGAAAATTCCAGAAAATAACCAATAATAGAAAAGAAACATATTTGCTTGAGTTACCAGCATTTCTTCCACAGTACCCACATAGAAGAGTCAAGAATATAAGTAGATTCTTGCTCCCAGATTTCTATCTGGTTTTAAGGCCCAGTTTTTCTGTAAGTAGTCTCCATTCTTTCTTTCTATAATTTTTTTGTGAATGAAGTTTCAACCTATTTTGTCTTTCAAGGAAACATTTCCTTTTACCATCAAAAAACACCCAAAACAATTTTCTTTTTTCTTAACAGAGTGTTATGTTTAGTAAGTACTTCTTGGGTTGAGTTCAGTATTACTTCTTTAATCACCATAGAGATAAAACCCTGAAGTAGCCAGGTCTTATGAAACTAACTCACATCTCAAGAAACAAATTACACTGGTAGGCTCACGAGCTGTGGCAATGATGTACAGTTCTTGCATCAGAAAGGTAACTAACCTACATGTTGAATAAGGTTCCTTCTCTCTAAAAAAGAAGAAACTTGACAAAATATGGGTGATAATTCTTAAAAGAGGCAAGTAAGTGGATTCCATAAAATTATTTGAAAGGTTAATAGTTTAAAGACATAATGAGACAGGAGCTATGATTAGGATGGGGGGAAAGGTGCTACTGAGACAGAGAGAAATGTATTTGTCCTGGGACAATGGTTCCCAGGATGTTCTATCTTTCAACGTGACCTTTCAGTGAGGCTACTTTTTATTTTATCTATATTCTTAGCTGCTTATCCATAAACCAAACTTAAATTTTTTAGTTACCCTTCAGGTATTCATAGAGAATCCCCCAAAGAATCGTAGGCATGTGATAAGGGAAGGGCAGTGATATCACCATGCCATGGGGTCTATAACACCTGCTCATGAAGCTTGTTTATGCTATCTGGTCATGTTTGTGCTTGCTCCCAAATATACCACTTCCATCTTGCAACATACTGTGGCTGGGCTTGTATGACCTTATCATTTGAGAAGTCTGAAAGGACTCAGTTCTAGATAGAAAGTCATCTGATGATCCATGGCCAGGTATCCTGCCTTCACCAGGGACCAGGGGCATATCAAAAGGCACATACTTCATGGAAAATGGCATGGCCTCACTCCCGAACTCAGAGTTTACATTATGATTTGCCCACTGAGGCCTGCCGCAAACTTTATGCAGCATCTTTTCTTACCAATACTTTTTTTTTTAGTCTGCCCAACTGTATGAGCTAAGTGGTACCATGGCCTGAGCTCTGTCTTCTCTAGATCCCATTTAGAAGTCGTCAACCTTTTATGCTTATGGGCAGGAGAAGCATTCCGAGCTATAGAATTATGCTTCCCCCAGAATTCAAGCACCCACCACTTATTGCACCTTTTAACTTAAAGATACAATAATTCCTTTTTTACTTTAGAAGAGAGATCTAGGCATACCACTGATCAGTTGATCTCTAACGTATTTACAGATGTGGCAGACACTTGACTTTTCATAGGATTCGTCAGCCGCATTCCTGCACCATGTCTTACCAATACCTCCACAGTACTCTCTTGCAAATTCAACCCAATCAACATAATGTTATCAAAGTAACTAATTAAAGTTATATACTGCAAAATGTCAAAATGGCCATATCTTCTCAGACTATATTATGACAGAAGGCAAGAGACTTAAAAACAGCCCTGCACAAACCTATAAATGGATATTATTATCCATTCCATATGAATATAAACTGTTTTTTTTTTTTTTCTGGGTAAAAGGAAATATTTTGGAGATCAACTTTCTCCTACGACTGAATGGATGTTTCTTAGTTCTGTATCTCATTACCCTGGCCAAGTTGCCATTAATTCTGTGTTATTAAGTCTGGTATGTGTGTAACACACTTGCTAATACTTTGCTGCTGTTCAGTTGCTAAGTCATGTCCAATTCCTTGTGACCCCAAGCACTACAGCATGCCAGGCTTCCCTGTCCTTTACTATCTCCTGGAGTTTGCTCAAACTCATGTCCATTGAGTCAGTGATGCCATCCAACCATCTCATCCTCTGTTGCCCGCTTCTCCTCTCACCCTCAATCTTTCCCAGCATCAGGGTCTTCTCCAAAATGTCGGCTTTACACATCAGCTAGCCAAAGTATTAGAGCTTCAGCTTCAGCATCAGTCCTTCCAATGAATATTCAGGGCTGATTTCCTTTAGGATTGACTGGTTTGATTTCCTTGCTGTCCAAGAGACTCTCAAGAGTCTTCTCCAGCACCACAATTCGAGAGCATCAATTCTTCAGCATTCAGCCTTCTTGATGGTCCAACTCTCACATCCATACATGACTACTGGAAAAACCATAGCTTTGACCACACAGACCTTTGTCAGCAAAGTGATGTCTCTGCTGTCTAGGTTTGTCATAGCTTTTGCTAATATTACTAAGACCCAATTATCATTCAAAATGTGCCAGTTAATCATAAGAGGGACCATCTGAGATTAGTAATAAAAAGGTCAAATGTATAACTACCAAAGGGCTTCCCTGGTGGCTCAGCTGGTAAAGAATCTGCCTGCAATGTGGGAGACCTGGGTTCAATCCCCGGGTTGGGAAGATCCCCTGGATAAGGGAAAGTCTACCTCCTCCAGTATTGTGGCCTGGAGAATTCCATGGACTGTATAGTCCATGGGGTTGCAAAGAGTTGGACACAACGGAGTGACTTTAACTCACTCATAACTAACAGAAGAAAACTGAAAAATTTCCTCTACTGCAATCATTTTTACCATGAGATACTTTAAGATCTTGAAACTAGCAAAGAAATATTTCAAGTCGAAGAATGACTTTGGGACTTCCCTGGTGGTCCAGTGGTTAAGCATCCACCTGCCAACACAGGGTGCCCAGGTTCAGTCCCTCTTCAAGGAACCAGACCCCACAGTCCGCAACTAAGAGTTTGGATGCTGCAACTAAACATCGTGCATGCTGCAACTAAAAACGAAAAAATTCTGCATGCCACAACCAGAGAGCCAAAGTGCTACAACTAAGACCTGACGCAGCCAAATACATAAATATTTAAAAAAAAGAAAAGAGTTGATGACAGTAATGCTATACAATGCTCAATTTTTTCATTTGTTGGTTAGACATGTACCAAAGATGAAGTGAGAGTAAAATGCACAATTTAAAACAATATTTTTCTTTTAATTTTATGTATATGTTAGGTGAAGGATTTTATGACCTGAAAAAGTCAAAATTGTCCTTTTTAGTAATGCATGAACAAAATGAATCTAAAATACAAGGTCTATTCTTTAGAAAATCATGGAATTATAGTTGAAAAGGAACTCAAGTTACTTGGTGCATATACCATTCTGATATTTTACCCTCATGATATTATAGTTTCTCCAAGTAATCATTGGCCTATATTTGAACCTATGTGAGAACTTAATGTTTCTTAAGGTAGTGCACTCCATTCTTAGAAAATTCTGACTGTTAACATTTTCTTATATTTAGCCAATGTCTCTCTGTAGCTTCCATTTACTAGTTCCAGTTCCAATCCAAGGAACCATGCATAGCCTTGCATGCATGTGTGCTGAGTTGATTCAGTCATGTCCGACTCTTTGTGACGCTATGGACTGCAGTCTGCCAAGCTCCTCTGTTCATGGGATTCTCTAGGCAAAAATATTGGAGTGGGTTGCCATGCTCTCCTCCAGGGGATCTTCTGGACCCAGGGATTGAATGTGTGTTTCTTAAGTCTCCTACACTGGCAAGTGGGTTCTTTACCACTAGCGCCACCTGGGAAGCACCTGGTATTTAGGATAGTGTTGCCAAACATATGTGGGCTTTTTCCTTCAGCTTTAGAGATTTTTATTTGACAAAAGCACTATATAAGTTTAAGGTATACAGCACAATGATTTGACTTATATCATAAGTTTAGTGAATATCCATCACTTAATACAGATACAAAATAAAATAAAATATACTTTTCTTATGATGAGAACTCTTAGGATTTACTCTCTTAATAACTCTCATATGCAACACAGAGCAGTGTTTATTAAATTAATCATGTTGTACATTATATTCCTAGTACTTATTTATCTTATAACTGGAAGTTTGTGCCTTTTGACCATCTTCAAAAATTCCCTCTCCCTACCCCCATTTATGGTAAGCACAAATTTTATTTATTTTTCTATAAGTTGTTTGTATTTTGAAGTATAACTGACCTACAACACTACGCTAGTTCCTTGTATACAACATGGTGATTAGATACATGACAAAACGATCACCATGATAAATCATTACCATCTGTTAACCTATGAAAATACTACATTATTATTGACTGTTATTATTTTCCATGCTGTACATTACATTCTTTGTCAGGAAGCATTTAACAAGAGGCTTCCTGTGTGCTGTTTTGGATCTGTCAGGAACCCTCTGGCCCCTATTGATTCCTGAATATTCAGGAATTAAGAGGAGAGGCACGCCTTTCCCGGGGCTGAGGAATCCAGGCATTTCTCATTACAGTGATAAGTACCCTCTTCCTTATTATGAGCCAAATGGTAAAAGACGATTGTTTGCAACTCTCTCTCTTTGATAGAGATCATCTTATGTTTTGTAAGTCTGGAATTTTAATCTTTATCTTTGCTGAGAATCACTGCAGTATATATGCCCACACCCTGTTGATTAAAACACCTTTGCTCCATCAGAGCTTTGATCCCCGCGTCTTTCTCTCTCTCTCTCTCTTCTTTCTTTCTTTCCCTCTCTCTCTCTTTCTTTTCTTTCTTTCCTTCTTTCTTTCTATTCCTTCTCTCTTTCTCTCTCTCTATTTCTGGCTAATTCCTTGGAGCGCGAGGCCCGCTGAGCTCACTTTCTTGCCCGGGCTTCTGAGACCCTCCCGAGGAGGCGCCCTGCGCCTTCACCCACTCTAGAGTGCGCCGGGTGCCTCCGCGCAGCAGCGCCGCCCTAAGAACGGGGCTCTGTTGGCTTTCCGCGTAAACCAGGGGGTATCAGCCTCTCTCTCTCT